TTTTACATTTTTTATTATTAAAATTTTATTAAAAATAAATATTTTAATTAAATAAAAATATATTAAAGATATTGTTAAATGTAATCAAAAAGTAGTTAAGAGTATCTTTTTGATATCTTATTTTGAATATATTTAAATATTATATTAATATTATGTGTTTATTTATTAATAACTAAGTTTGTTGTATGAAACATAACATAAAGTTAAATAAATTAATGTTTTGAGGTAAACTACTTTCAAGTAGATAAAAATAATGACTCTATTTTAATAGAGTAGATATGAGAGTACATATTATCGGTTTTGAATAAGTCTCAATGATTATAAATTTCTATATATTTTAAATATAGTAGCTAATGCTTGAAATAAGTTGTTATATGTGGAGCGATATATTTGCATACTTACTATGTAGTATAATAAAATATTTTTGATTTGTTTGTGAGAATTACCAATCCACTATTGAAAATACATAATGTTTATAAGAAGTTGAAATTGTGTTTTCTTTAAGTTTATTGTTGAGCTTATTCTGAATTGCAGAGGAGATGTGTCGCTCGTACTCATATACTCCAGTTTACTCTTATCTTATTTGAAATCCTGATGGTTTCGATTGTGTTGTCAAAGTAAAATTGTATTGTTGATGATGAATTTAGTATTAATCTTATCATTGTTTTTTCACATTCACGATATTTGGCACCTAAAACAGTCGAGATATTAATTTGAGATAATCATTTTAATATTTTATTGACTTAAATAATATATTATCTTTATGATTTTATTGATTGAATTTGATAGATTTGGTATATAACAGAGAAAGTAGATTAAACCCTAGTATATAAGATTTTCTCTACACTATCCATTAGTTTTATTGTTATTATTATTTGTTTATAATAATATTGATACTTTTTATTATTATTATTTTCTTTTTTCATGTAAGTTTTAATCATTTAATTTGAATAATGTTTTTATGAAATTGAATAATTTTTTATTAAAATATAATACTTATGTCATTTTAATTGATTGAAATTGTCCATTTAATTATTGCATTTTATAGAATTTATGTTTAAATTTACGTGTATTATTTTATAATTTAGATATATCTTCTTATGCAAATCCTTATCTTTATCATTTCACTTTTTTGTTTTCTACTCAATTCTTTTTTATATTCTAATCACATACCTGGTCTATTTTTTATTTCTAAGGATTGATTTTTTTGAATTATGAGATCTTGTTTTATTCTATACGAGGTGATTTTCCCGTGCTCATGCACGGGTATGAATATTTATCAAGTAAATATATTGTAATATATTCTAATTTATTAATTTACATAGATATTTAATTTTAATTATAAATTAATTTATAATTTATATTATAACTTATATTAATAATATTAGATTATTTTAATTAGACATATGATTTAGTAGATGTTATATATAATCGGTTAGGTTGTTTTTTTTGGTCAATAGTCGATTTGGTTACACTTGTGTATTTTAGATTGCATCTATTTTTCTGAATTCAACTACAATATTTTCCTTCTAAATATACTAAAACTTTGATTATTATTGTATTTAGATAGGTTATCGTCTTATATATGTAAATATATTTTAATAAGATTATGTATAACTTAATATATATTATGCTTATAATGAAATTTAAAATAAACTGAAATTTTGACTCAAAATTATATAAATGAATATAACGATAATATTCTGAAGTCTCATTGATATATATATAAATTTTACAAAAAAAAACTGAATTATAATAGTTGGTTAATAATTTATGTTTTCTATATTGATATTTTTGAGTCATCATGTAATCTATATGTATAAAAATAAATAAATAATTATTCTAAAATTATATGTTCTTGTTGTTGTTAGATCTTTTATTTTTCATATAAGTTAGATTCGTTCCATTACTCGTTTTGTGGGTATATTGAGTTATTTTTATAATTAAATCAAATCAAATTACTTTTATTTACCGCTTAATGCAAGTATTTTATAATATTTTTAATAATTGGATATATGTTGATTTTTAAGATATATTAAAAAATAAAGTGACGATCAATAAGAATTTACAATCATAAATATGAGTATAAAAATAAACATTTGAAATTTCATGAGAACATATTAATATTTACAATAATTAAATATTTATAAATTTTAAATTATTTTATACCTTAGATTTCTTAAAAGGTAAATTGAAACTTTTTAAACAATCATAAAAATGAGAACTTAGATTTACTTGAGTATTTTGATTATTTATCTATTAAGTTCCATAAACATAAAAAACATAAAATTAAAAAGCAAACTAAATATTAAAAAGATTTTTTAATAATGATAAAATATAATATTTTTATTTCATTAATAGTGTATAGTGCTACGCTATTTAAAAAAAAATTGAAATTATTTGATCAAAATATTTATTTGTGTTAAGAAAATTTATTTTACTTTTTAATATCTCTTAAATAAACATTAAAAATGTTATTTTATGAAAATTTTGAAAGCAAAATTAATTTCGTTTATATATAAACATTTCTATTTCATAAATATTTCTTTTTTTGTTTATGTGTGTTTAAAAAGTAAACATAAATTAAAAAATTAAGTAAAATCTTATTATGAAAAAGGAAATACATTATTAATATCAATCTTATTTAATATTTTTGTTCATTAAGGGTATCTATGTAATTAATCATCGTGAGAGTTAACGTGAGCGCGACACGTAGGAAACTGACTTCTCAAATAATATTATAGAGATATACTTAAATTAAATATTACTATTTTGTGAACTTTCCTTTTTTTATTAAACCATATTATATATATACTTATATTTTCGTTTTTAAATAGTTTTTTTTAATTTTATAAATGTTTCCTTTTTATTTTATATTGTTATTTGGAAATTTTTAAAAAGGAAATAATATTTAATTGTATTTTTAATTCATTAGGGGTATCATAGTAATCAACCAGCGTGAGAGTTAACGTGAGCGCGACACCTAAGAAAGTGACTTCTCAAATAATATTATAGAGATTTAACGTGTTTTTATGAATCTAGAGAAACTAATAATTTGAAAATGGAAAGAAAAGAAAAGATCGTAAATAAAGTCTAGGAGTTTTCTTATAAAACTACAACAGTTCTCTTATATAAGAAACACACAAAGTCAGAATAAGTTACACAAAATATAGACCATAGGCCAAAAACTTAGAAGTAGATGAAAGTTGATTGTTTTCATATCTATAGAATCAATAAATCCAAGTATTAATGACATTAAATTAATATAGCGGATGGGTCACCTTATTCCACAAAAATCTGTTGAAAGCAGCCGACTCTTCGCTCAGCTAGTTAGCAAGGATCTTTCTTCTTTCTCTATTGATGGTAAAATAAAATTATGAAGTGCATCATCCCGTATTGCTCATTCAAAAGCTGAGCATACTTACTGACACCAACACTTTGATAGTGTTCATTAGCATATTCATGCAATTGGCAGGCAGATTGTAAGGTTACTTGAAGACGTTTCTTCTCTTCTACCTTCTACATGAGAAGCCATTGCACACCCTCAAACTTGCTTTTCATGTTACCACTAAACTCCAAAGATTGATGGAAAAAATATATTACTCTATCCCCATGTTGAAGCTGTTGAAACTACTGCATTCTCCATATAAATGCAACAGACATATTTTTAGACTGATTGCTTGCAATTTATCTCAACCGCAGTTTGACAAAGAAAAATAAGAAGTATCTCAGCAGTGATGTGAGGACAGTTCTTGTAGTACTAAATCCAGCTTAAGAGTATAATATGGATTTGTTTTCAGAGTGGTACCATATGCCATGAATCCTGAAGAACAGCTTGAGGATTTTTGAACATTGCGCACACAAAGTTTAATGCCTTCTCCTTTGGTGTTGCCTTTGCAACCTTAAGCTCATCAACCTGCAACTCAGGTAGCATTAGAACTGTCATCCATAAAAAAAATACAGACCAAAAGTATTAAAGCACATTGACCAGATTTTTAGGGACAATGCACACCCAGTTGCTTAGCACTATACCCAAATTTTGTTTTCAACCACACCTAGCCCCTCTTAAGATGCCCTTCATCAATACATCCTACAACGGCAGGAGAATGCAAGTTGAACTTGGAATCCACATCATCAACTTTTCTTTCTATTTCTGCCACTTTAAGAGACTTAATGAGTTATTACAAGAATATATTGATTTAGTTTACGCCTAGGAACTGATATCTTATGCCTTACTGCAACCTCCCCAGTTACAGAGCTCAGTACAAGTTTTTTAGTTGACATACTCCTCTAAAACGCCGTGAAAAGAAACCTATGCTACAACTTGAAAACATTCAGCTAATGCATGAAAATATTCAGCTTTTCAATAAAATAAAAAAATCTTTGTATCATGGGAACTCCAATATAGATGGTAAAAGACAAAACTTTTTCACAGACTCATAATTAAAGCAATACTGGTTCATAGTTAACATTGCTCAAGCTATTTATATTAATGGCGAGCTGCAGAATCTTGAAACGTTGAAATGGTGAAAACGAAAGAGAAGAGTCTTGATGAGAGATGAGAGATTATAGGCCTATATCTTGCTGCAATGTTTTGTACAAGGTAATATCTAAGCTCCTTGCAAACAGATTAAAGATGATTTTACCGAAGTGTATATCTTTAAACCAGTCTGCTTTTATTAAGGAAAGACTCTTGATGGAAAATGTCTTATTAGCGACTGAATTAGTAAAGGATTATCACAAGGAGGATGTTTCTCTGCACTGTGTCATGAAGATAGATATATCGAAAGCCTTCGATTCTGTTCAGTGGTCCTTCCTTCTAAATACGCTAAAAGCTCTTGGTCTCCCAGAGAGGTTTATACATTGGATCTCCTTGTGTATAACTTCAGCTTCCTTCTCAGTTCAGGTAAATGGCGAATTGGTAGGATATTTTCAAAGCAGTAGAGCTGTAGAGGATTGAGGCAGGGGTGTTCTTTATCCCCGTATCTTTTCGTCATATGTATGAATGTTTTATCAAAAATGATAGATGAAGCAGCATGTAAGGGGAGAATTGGATACCATCCTCGGTGTAAGAACATAGATTTGACACATCTATGTTTTGCTGACGATTTGATGGTTTTTGCTGAGGGAAACAAGAGATCTGTAAAAGGGATCCTGGATGTGTTTGCGAACTTTGATAAAATGGCTGGCTTAAAGATTAGTTTGGAGAAGTCTACTTTTTTTATGGCGGGGATCTCTAATTTGAATCAGGAAGATATTCTGAATGAATTTCCATTTGCAGCAGGGAACCTTCCAGTTAAGTATCTGGGTTTACCTATACTAACTCGAGGTATGACGGTTGCAGATTATCTTATTCTGGAAGGTTACAGCTGATTAAGTCAGTTATTACAAGTTTAACTAACTTCTGGATGACCGCCTTTCGTCTCCCTAGTGCTTGTGTAAAAGAAGTAGAAAGGTTATGTTCTGCCTTTTTATGGTCAGGGCCGGACCTTAATGGAAGAAAGGTGAAAATATCTTGGAAAGAAATCTGTCGAACGAAGGAAGAAGGTGGTTTAGGTATAAGACCATTAAAAGAGGTGAATCTCGTGAGTTGTTTGAAGCTTATTTGGAGGGTTTTATCTTCTCGCTCTCTTTGGGTGAATTGGATTAATGTTTATTTGATAAGGAAGGGATCTATATGGACGCTAAAGGATACTATGCAATCAGGCTCATGGACGTGGAGAAAAATTTTGAAGTGTAGAAATGTTGCAAAGAGTTTTTATAAAGTGGAGTTAAGGGATGGAAGGAAAACCTCTTTCTGGCATGAAACATGGTCGTCGCTGGGATGTTTAAATGATATCTTGGAGGGAAGAGGAAGTATTGATTTGGGAATTCTGATAAATGCAGCTGTGAGTGCAAGCAGAAACCATAGAAGAAGATGCCATCGGATACCAATTCTTAACAGAGTGGAGGAAGAGATTGAAAGGTATAAGAATAACATTGAGGAGGAAGAAGATATATCAATGTGGAGAAATGAGAAAGATAATTTCAAGAAAAAATTCGTTTCCAGGGAGACGTGGAAGGTATTAAGAGAAAGGCATCAAGAATGCCAATGGTGGAGAGCAGTCTGGTTTAAGTATGCTACACCTAAGTAATCTTTTATGCTATGGACAACTATAAAAGATAGACTGTCCACAGGAGAACGTATGCGAAGCTGGAATGGTAATATAGACTCGTCATGTATCTTTTGTCAACATCTTATTGAGACAAGAAGGCATCTCTTCTTTGAATGTTCTTACTATGCGCAAATTTGGGAAGTACTGATGAAAGGAGTATTACGTGATCAATACACAACGGATTGGGATGAGGTGATGAGACTCTCTTTGAATAATTATCAGGGTAAAATCAAACTCTTTGTTATTAGGTATATGTTCCAATCTGATATTCATAGTATCTGGCGGGAAAGAAACAGAAGGAAACATGGTGAACCCCATTCACCAGCTACACTGTTGATTAAAATCCTGGATAAGAATATGAGAAACAGATTTACAGTCATTGGTTGGAAAGGGAGAGGAGACTATGAGGGAGGCATGGCGTATTGGTTTGCTACAAGGAGTGGGAGTGTGATCCAGTAGGAGTGAGAGCTGGTTACCTAGTAGGAGTGAGGGTTGGGTAAGAAGGTAAGAGAGGGATGGAGACCAGTAGGAGTGAGAGCTGGGTGTCTAGTAGGAGTGAGTGCTGGACATGTTTGGAAGAGAAGATAAAAAGGAGGATGGATACATTTGAGGAGGATTGACAATTTGAAGAAAATTTATGTTTCTGCTTATTTTGTTTCAGTTGTATTTGTAAAAGTTTAGAAAAGAACACTGTGTAACAAGGTCTTTTTTTCTTTGAATCAAATTTAACATTTTATTCAAAAAAAAAAAAGAAGAAGAGTCGAAAATAATCAACGCTTGCAATGAATGTAAGATCAGGGACAAATGGACTCGAAATGGGCCAGTTCAAAGCCCACATGAATAGTCCGGTTGTAAGCTGTAACAAATGAATGATGAAGTGACGTAGCAATTTGTAATTTTCTTGTTAGTTAACTTTTTTTATTGACGTGGACATGCTTAGGATGAAGGAGATTCAACTTTTATTATTGTAAGATTTGGTTAGATAAGTTTTTTATTTAAAATCAATTGACAGTAAGTAAATAAGCCAATATTTATTGTATATTATCTTTTTTTTTATATTAACAAAAATTGAATGTAAAATTTTGTCAATCAAAATCAAATTTCAAGAAAAGTATCACAATTTGGTTCTTAAAGCATTGAAGACATTACCATTTCCGTTCTTAATTACGATTTAAAGGGTTTTATGCAATTTCACCCATTGTATGGTATTTAGATTTGTTTTAAAGCAATAGAACATTATATTTTCATGAGATTTCCATAGATTATTAAATATTATTACACTAATATTTTATACATTATCGTTTTATGATTCAGTTTTAAAAATGACACATGTAAAGGTGATTTCTTAAATAATAACAAGTGTCGAGCTGATGTCTACAGTTTCTCAACTTTTCCTTACTTTCTCATACGTTACTTTTTTTCATGCGAGATTTTCGTGAGAGATCAATTAATGATGATGCTCTTATATACAGATCCAAAGAATGTCATCTCTCTCTCTATTCTGAGAAAGAAAATGGAAGCATCAGCTGTGTTGGCACCAGTTTCAGTAGCTATAGCTATAGCTGTATTGTGGTGGATATGGAGAACTCTAGAGTGGGTTTGGTTTAAACCAAAGATGATTGAGAGTTGCCTGAGAAGGCAGGGTCTTCCCGGAACTTCTTACACGCCACTCGTAGGAGATGTGAAAAGGGAAGTTAGCATGTTAATGGAGGCAAGGTCCAAACCCTTAAAACTAACGGATGATATCGTCCCACGTGTCTTGCCTCTCCCCTTTCACATGCTCAAGACTCATGGTATGTTTCTTGATTCCTATCTGTTGAGAACAAGAAAACGTTGATCTACACAAAACGTTTCAATATTTGTATCTCTATATATGTGTGGTTTTGAACAGGAAGGACATCTTTCTTTACATGGCGTGGACCTATACCAACTATCACCCTAATGGATCCTGAGCATATCAAGGAAGTGTGCAACAAAATTTATGAGTTCCAGAAACCGAATACGTTCCCCTTGGCCAAACTGGTATCCACTGGAATCTTTAGTCACGATGGTGATAAATGGGCAAAACACCGAAGAATCATTAACCCTGCTTTCCACCTTGAGAAGATCAAGGTTTGGCTTTCATTTTTTATTTTTTTTTTCATTTTCATTTTTCATCACATTAAGTAGTGTGCTTTAATACGTATGCATGTTGAGAGAGATATGATCTTGTTTTGTGCCTTGTGTGTCTCTGTATAGAATATGGTTCCTGCGTTCCACCAAAGCTGCATGGAGGTTATTGGCAAGTGGGACAATATAGTCTCGGACAAAGGGTTGTCTGGTGAGGTTGACGTGTGGCCTTGGCTTATGAGTATGACTGCAGATGTGATCTCTCGTACAGCTTTTGGCAGCAGTTATCAAGAAGGACATAGGATATTTACGATCCAATTGGAATTAACACAGCTCCTTATACATGCTTCTCGCAAAAGTTGCATCCCTGGATATAGGTAATAAAATCGTAATAAAAATGTATTATTGTGTTGTTGTGTTTAATATGAGAATACATAACACATACATATACTAGTAACATTAACAGAGTGATAACACCAAATTAATAATGTGAATTTTCGTAAACATATATATATATATATATATATATATATTTTCAATATATTTTCATAAACATATAAAGCATAATAATTTTGAGATCTACATGCTCTTTTAAATTTTCTTTTTCTAAGGTTTTCATGGATTTTACAATCTTGGTAGCAGGATTGACATCTTGATATTTGATGTCTTATATATATATTTAATATGAATTTTGTTATTTTAACCAATGATATCTGTTAGAACGAATGAATCATGTTGTCCTTTGTTATTTTGTTTACACAGATACTATCCAACGAAGGTTAATAGAAGGATTAAGGCGGCAGCTAGAGAAAGCGAAGTTACACTGAGAGGGATCATTAACAAAAGGTTAAGGGCTAGAGAAGCTGGGGAAGCACCAAGCCAGGATTTGCTTGGTACACTTCTTGAAGCCAATTTAGGGCAAGCTAATGGAGATGGAATGAGCATTAAGGATGTGATGGAGGAGTGCAAGTTTTTCTACTTCGCCGGGCAAGAGTCAACTTCAGTACTTCTAGTTTGGACAATGATTATGCTAAGCCAACACCAAGACTGGCAGGCTCGTGCAAGACAAGAAATTAATCAAGTTTTTGGTGATAAAGAACCTGATACAAAAGGTCTTAACCAGCTTAAAGTTGTAAGTAAAATTAAAAAAAATTTTAAAAAAACATTCTGTTAAAAATTAATTGTTGTGTTACGACGATTTTTTGATGAATGTTTCCAACAGATGACGATGATATTATATGAGGTCCTTAGGCTATATCCTCCGGTAATCTATATGGCCCGAGCCATTTACAAAGAGATGAAGCTAGGCGACCTGACGCTACCAGATGGTGTTCAGATCAATCTACCAATCATGCTACTACAACGCGATACTCACCTATGGGGTGAGGATGCAACTGAGTTTAAGCCTGATAGATTCAAAGATGGTGTCGCAAAGGCAACGAAGAGCCAAATCTCCTATATTCCATTTTCTTGGGGACCAAGGATATGCTTAGGTCAGAATTTTGCAATGATGGAGGCAAAGATGGCAATGGCTTTGATTCTGCAAAGATTCTCCTTCGAGCTTTCTCCTTCCTATGTCCATGCTCCTTACAAAGTCTTCACCCTTCACCCACAGTTTGGTGCTCATCTTATCCTGCACAAGCTATAGGTCCATAACCCCACGCATGTGTGATGATGTTTTGTAATGGGTTTTATCATATATAAAAGAAATAAAATTAGTTAAGATCCTCATATTATAACATCATGCTTTTTAAATTAAGAATGCTTCTCTTGTTTTGTATAAAACTGTTTATAATTTATCAAACTTTATATCGCTTCTGAACAAATTTTTAAATCATCATAAATTTAATCGTATTCGACCTTACAGCAACCTCTGAGTTTCCTTGTGGGTTACGGCAGAAATTTAATCGTATTTGTCTCTATTCTCAGTGGAACTTTGATATTAAATCTCTCGGTGGATTCTCTGTTTCAAATAAAGGAATATGCCTTTTGGACAAGTACACGACATACACAATTGTTGATGTGCCCTAAACCACATGCAACTTCTACTGCCACTTTCACAGGACCACTATGGTATGCATTATATTTTGATTTTTATTGACATGATGCAGCATCCTCTATTGTCTTCTTTTATCAACTTTATACATTTGCATTATTGTTCTGTATAATATTATATATATTAGACTGAATCTCAGGGAAAAGAATTATATCAAACTTATGGTCCTCTGTTTTTCTGGTCTAAAATATTGAAAAAGATGTTTTGGTGTTATGCGTTACAAGATATTTTCTTTTATTTGATGTAACAGGCGCAGAAACTTATTACTCCATAATAATGTTGATAAGGATTTGTTTTTAATATTGAACTCTGAATTAGGTTCGTTGATTCTTTCTGAAGGCTACCAAACAAAACAAGAACAAAAAAAATCTGCATGGCTGAGATACTTCGACTCTTGCAGTTACCAGTTTTGAATAAAAAAATAAAATGAATATGTTTTTTATAAAACAAGAGTTCTGGTTCTCATGTGGTATACTTTGTCCCTTGTGCAGTTGTGCTGTTTTTGATAGTTTACAAACAGCAATTGGATTGAAACAAGTATACAAAAAACTACTCGATTCTAGTATTTTTTCTGCTCAACTTGTTGATAATGTTAGTATTACTTATATGACTATTTTGTTTTGTAATTAACGTTTTATAATCAAAGGAGTAGCAAAAAAGAACTAGAAAAATGAAAATATATTTACGGTTTACCTCAAAAATGAATAAGCGACAAGAGCTAGTTTTCACAATCCGTACTAAAAAAGAACTTCAATATAATAAGGTTTATGTCAGGTCGCCTAAAAGTTTGGATTGACTTATGTGTCATGTTGAAAGCTAAGCCTAAAATCTCAAAATTTTCGACAAGTTTGATATTATATCAACTTGTAAATGTTATTAAAGCAATTATCAAATGTATGGAACATTTCTTGGTTACAGAGCTGTACCAGTCTTATTTATTTCTGCTGTGATCTCGAGATACCAACTTTACACGTTTTCTAATACTGTACAATTAAAAATAGATTATTGACTTGATATATGCTTTTAATTAAAGAAATAGTTCACCACAACGATGAAAGTGTGATGGAAAATGATAGATCAACTTTTGCTGAAATGTTTAAATATTGCCACTTGACACCTTGCCCTACATTGATTATATTAAATGATACTATTTATGTGGCTTAAGATTTGAGATTCTCTTAGATCCGTGATATTGTATGTCTTTTTCATGCTTTAGCTAATGGACCGACTTTGCATCTCACCCATATGTTAAAATACCTAAAAATATATTATCTCAAGTACAACTCTATGTATAAACAGATAATTCAAGTTGTAAAAAGAAATGAATTACTCAAAAAAGTAATTCATATAATCATTTTTCTTGAGACTGAGTCAAATAAACCACAAGTATCATAATATTTTTACCAAAAAAGTATCATAATGTTTTATATAATCATTTTTCTTGAGACTGAGTCAAATAAACCAATGAGAGACATGCAAGCTTTCTTTCTTTTTCTGAAGGCTTGAGACATGCAATCTTATTTGGTGGTGATCTTAACGTTGTAGCGGCAACAACAGCAATCCTATAGTAGTTGTTCGACAACTGAGTCTTCTCAATAGTTTTATAATCGTAATCACTATAGTAGTAATATTATTATTAAGAAACTAAAAGTAATCGTAATTACAGCTTCTAGAAAATCTAAAAAGTTTATGTACTTCTTTAAACTGCGACATGTGTATAAACTTCAACGAGAGTTAGGTGAATTTTACGGCTTCATTTATAAACTTTGTGGGATTTTAATAAGCTTTAATCATATTTATTGACTGAAACATCAATGACAGAAATCAAGTGACCAAACTTGACTTACCTTGATATCTACCCACCCCTTTCTTCTCAAACTAGATCATTACCAAGAAAAAAATAAAACTATTTAGGAGGTAAATAAACCATAGATAAAAACTAGGGGCTAAAACATTGATATATGAATAGTAAGAGGGTTAAAATATAAATAGTGAAAAGGTGCCGTCCAGCGGTAGTTGCCTCACAACGGGTCTATCTCAAAAAGAACACCGACAGTGGACCTAACGGCAGTGCCGGTCCGGAGTTATCCGGCGCCTAAAGCAAACCAAAATAATTTGCCCCTTAATTATAACTAAATTTTATTATATTTTAAAATAGACAATCAAAATAGTACCAAATATTATTAAAAGTTAAGTTGTTTCCAAAGAAATAAAAATACCAAAAACAACAAAACTTATTTGCAGTTCATTTTGTCAGATTTTTAAATTTTATTTAAAGTCATTTGGTTGTTTTTAATTTATTTTATAGTATTTCTTACAAATCCCAAGAAATACGAAGAACAAAATAGATAATTTATAGATAGAGCTAAACATATAATAAAGTCACATTAAGATCAGTTTCACGACTTTTATTGTGTTTGTGGAGTTTCAAATAATATTAAAACCCTATTATAGTTAAAGATTTTGAATCTCAAAATTTTCTAAAAGAACAAAAAAAAAGAAAGAAAAATAAAGAAGCTATTTCAACAAAGATCAATCACAACAAAACAGTAGATTTTGAGCAGTTAATCATTCAAGATAAAAAGGATTGTTGAAAGAAAAAAAAAAGTTTTGTTTAATTACATTATGTATCGATCTAGTAACATATCATTTTAATATAATATGTTGATTAAAAATTAAAGGGTTGGTGAAAAAAGTAACGAAATCCTCTGTGTATTACAATGAATAAATCTTTTGTTATATTCCCAGAGGAAGAAAACAATGTTATGAGTATATCACAAACAATAAAAACGGAAGCGGCTTTCGAACCCTATAACTCAAGGATCAAAACGAAGAACCACATACCTACAACCACTGGCCTACAATAAAGTATGCAAACTTTGTCGCCCCAAAATTATTTATAGGTTGTGGCGCCTAAAGCCCTTGCTTTAAGGGCTTTAGCCCTGGGCCGGCCCTGCCTAACGGTAACTTAAAACAATCCTCAGAGTTGTTAAAAAACTACGAAAATGCCATTGCCTCGTGACCTGTCTCTCGTACACAAATAAGTACCACGAAAATTGCTAAAATTAGAATATACAAAACAAACAAACAAACAAACATTTTGTGATCTACAGATCTCCTCTCCATCTTTCTTTCTTTCTCTCCTATCACTGGATCTTGAAGAGATCTACATCTCCCCCGAAGAAGAAGAAGAAGAAGAACCCTTTTCTCTCTGTGAAGTGCATTTGCTAGAATCTAGGGTTTTTCTGATTCCAAGAATCGTCTTTTTTTCTCTCATTGGTCACTCTGTTTTTTTGTTTATTTCGATCTCTTCTAAGATCAATTCATATTGAAAAAGTGTTTCTTTCTTTTTTTAATCTCTTTTGGATTTTAGATTTTTGAATCTGAGGAAGACGATAGGGTTGTTGAGCGGTTTAGTTACTAAGAAAACTACTCTGCTTTTATCATTCTTCTTACCTCCTCTGTTTCTTTAAACTCTCTGTAAAGACTCGACCTTTACATCTTTTTGTTTCTTGAAGAGGATGCAGCAAGTTCACGCGAAGAAGGTTAGTTTCTCATTTACAGCCAAAAAGGGTATCTTAAAGTTCATTTCTTTCGTTATAAATCTAATTAGCTTCGCTCTGTTTCTTTACCTTTTTTGCGAAAAAAAACAGAGCATGAAAGAGATAGACTTTTTCACAGAGTACGGCGACGCGAACCGTTACCAGATTCTCGAAGTCATTGGGAAAGGAAGCTACGGAGTTGTGTGTGCAGCGATCGACACACACACGGGAGAGAAAGTGGCAATCAAGAAGATTAACGACGTCTTTGAACACATCTCTGACGCTCTCCGTATCCTCCGTGAGGTCAAGCTTCTCCGCCTCCTAAGGCATCCTGATATAGTTGAGATCAAGAGCATCATGCTCCCACCGTCCAAGAGGGAGTTTAGAGATATTTATGTTGTGTTTGAGCTCATGGAGTCGGATTTGCATCAAGTCATCAAAGCTAATGATGACTTGACTAAGGAGCATCATCAGTTTTTCCTTTATCAGATGCTACGTGCCTTGAAGTATATGCATACAGGTGGAGTTTTCTTATTACGTTCAAGTTTTGCTATAAATAGTAGAGGGGAGATTTAACTTGATTCTGTTTTTTTTTTTTTTGTGCAGCTAATGTTTACCATCGTGATTTGAAACCGAAGAACATTCTGGCTAATGCAAACTGCAAGTTGAAAGTTTGTGACTTTGGATTAGCGAGAGTGTCATTCAATGATACGCCTACGACAGTCTTTTGGACGGTCTGCACCTTTCTGATGATTATTTATTAAGTTTTGGTAATCTCTCCAGTGTGTTTGAATATATTTGTGTCTTTTGTGTTTCAGGATTATGTTGCCACAAGATGGTACAGGGCACCTGAGCTCTGTGGTTCATTCTGTTCTAAGGTACTTCTTCCATATATGGCTTTTCCTGTGTGGTTGTGAATGTTTATAGGTTTGGTGTAGAATCTATGGGAACAGTGTTAGAGATAGAATGAAAACCTCACTGTGCTCGTTTTTTTTTGGAATTATATTCTCAATATACTGAGTTGCAGTTTGTATGTTTTGCAGTATACTCCAGCTATTGACATTTGGAGCATTGGCTGCATCTTTGCGGAGGTGTTGTTAGGGAAGCCTCTGTTTCCTGGTAAAAGTGTCGTCCATCAGTTAGAGCTCATCACAGATCTTCTTGGCACACCAAAACCAGAGACCATTGCTGGAGTATGTTCATTTTTGCTTCCTTATTACCAAGTTTCTATGTTTGACATGCATAAACTAATACTATTATCTCTAACGCAGGTTCGAAACGAAAAAGCTCGAAAATACCTTGGCGAGATGAGGAAGAAAAGTCTTGTCCCCTTTACGCAGAAGTTTCCTAACGCAGATCCTTTAGCATTGCGCCTTTTGCAAAGACTATTGGCTTTTGATCCAAAGGATAGACCAACTGCTACAGAGGTGCTTGCCTGTTCTTTCATTTCCTCTTAGAATAACTGGCTTGCTTATGTAGTGATGTTTAACATTGGAATGTTGTTTTGACAGGCACTTGCTGATCCTTACTTTAAGGGTCTTGCTAAGGTCGAAAGGGAACCTTCTTGTCAGCAAATCTCGAAGATGGAATTTGAGTTTGAGAGAAGAAGGTTAACAAAGGATGACATTAGAGAGCTAATATACAGGGAGATACTAGAATACCATCCTCAGTTGCTCAAAGATTATATGAACGGATCTGAAGGCTCCAGTTTCTTATATCCTAGGTTCTTACTTCACCTTTCAAAACCATTTTCACACTAAACTCTCTCATTCATTTTCGCTGATAGATTGAATTTGATATTGCAGTGCCATTGGTCATCTGAGGAAACAGTTTGCTTACCTAGAAGAGAATAGCGGCAAAAGTGGACCAGTTATACCTCCAGAGAGAAAGCATACTTCACTTCCACGGTATTGTTTTCTCTTCCGTGCATATACATCTCTTTTGAATCAGTATGGCACTTGTGATTAATCTATTTCATGTTCATCTCTCCATAGGTCTACAGTTCACTCCAGTGTAGTATCCTCCAGTGCTCAGCCTGTCTTGAATGCATCAGACAGTAGACGTGTTTCTTTTGAGCCTTCAAGAAACGGAGTAGTTCCATCAACAACTTCAGCAAATTCAAACAAACCTTTAGGACCTCCTCCAAGAGTACCATCAGCTAGACCAGGCCGTGCAGTGGAATCATCTATAACTTATGAGAATGCCAGGAACAACCTCAAAGATTCTTCCCATGATGCAAGGACATCTTATTACAGAAGCACGGTACCTCCTCCACAGACCGTAACTCCTAACTGTTCCTTCCATCCTAACGCCATGAACCAAGAGAAGCGTGGTGGTGGTACAGAACCAAAACCTCAGTTTGTCCCAACCCAATGCAACTCTGCGAAGCCAGCAGCTGAGCTGAACCCAAACCCTTATGTCCAATCACAGCACAAGGTGGGTATTGATGCTAAGCTGTTGCAGGCACAATCCCAGTATGGTCCTGCTGGAGCTGCCGCTGTTGCAGTAGCAGCACACCGGAGCATAGGCACGGTTGGGTATGGCATGTCTTAGAATTAGCAGTTTGTTGGTGTCAGGTGATTGAGCCGGTCGTTAGTGGTTATGTGTAATGTAAGTATTATTGGATCAAGCCTGATTTGAACTCATCTGAGATTTGTAATAATAAAGAAAGTTTTAGTTTTAACCTCACCAAAAAAGTCTCTCTGCAAAAGTCAAATGTGCTCTCGGCTAATCCTGGATCTCTTGGCTTATAAAACAGAACAAATGGCTAAACATATAAGAAAACAATTATATGTTTGCAGACGTGACCCTTCACAGGTAGCTTGATACGAGTGCGGCTGTTACAATGGTGATGATTTAATCATTAATGTTAAGGTAATGATTAAATCAATGTTGGTTAACATACAGAAACTGGTTCCCAAATGCTTAAGGTAAAAGGGAAAGCAATAAATCCAAACGCACCTGACTTCTTGTGGATGTATAAGACAACTAGATTTGCTTATGTCCTCTGTCCGGAAAACAAATAATCCCTGAAGAGCAAGTAAGATTCACATCATAAACCAACGTTTCAATGTTAGCGATCAAGTAGATGAGAACACACAAGCCGGCCTAAGAAACTTCCAAAAACATTCAACAACTCAATCCTCATAAGCTAAAATAACATAAAGAATACAACTGCAGCCTACCTCTCCATGAGCTGTGGATTAGACTGATGGGACCATTGACACTAGAGGCAACGTCTTCAGAACTAGTGAAACCCTTCAACATCTGCACAACAAGGAAAGCACCAGGTCCACCACTAGTAATATCAAATCCTAAACATTCTCAAAAATGACAACTGCAAAATGAAGAAGAGAAGATAACATAAATTTGCAAGCCCCAAACCATCTGTCCAGGAAGCGCACAAATAGAGAATGCAACACACACCCATGGGAACAACTATCAGCGTGGTCTAGAGAAAAACCAGCAATACCACGAGGTGGGGGTAAAGCCCAATCCTTTCCAACAATCAAGATCCTGTCAGTCAACAATACTGCCAAACCAAATTTCACAAACAAGAACATAGGTCTATACTAAAGAGATGAACATAGGTTTATACTAAATTTCACAAACCAAATTTCACAAACAAGAACATAGGTTTATACTAAAGAGATGAACATAGGTTTATACCAAGTTTCACAAACAAGAACATAGGTTTATACTAAAGTCATTATTTCACCCACGCAGGAGGCCTTTCCAGGTCAAATTGTTGTGACCCACGTACTGAAGCAGAGATGATTTCCTTTTTGGGTTAGAGAAAAGAAGTGTGTTGTGACTTGCTTGCTCCACCTCCATAAGGGGCAACACGAAGTCCTTATCTCCTGTGATGAGTACCAGAGTCTCAACCACCTTCTGAAATAACATCCAGTTAACCATTCGCAAATCGCAAATGTATCTCTTCATCACTCGCTTGCTTATCACTGGTGTCTAGTGTAAACATACTCATCCCAAATCGTCACAGATCAACCTTAACATCGGCGGGCACTCTATTCTCGTTGGTGGCAACGGCAACTATCTCAAGATACTTTCGATAACCTAACTCCCAGAGATACCGAATGATCCGCTCAACGACCTCGGTCGCTCTGATACCCGATGGTATTTCCGGAGAGAGAGAGAAAGAGAGAGATAATCAAAGTTTTTTAAGTGGGGTCAAAGTTAATTAAAATTTTGCATCATATATTGACGGAAGAAAGTGCACAATATTTCTACGTGAATGATGCATCATCTATAGTGCATGACATCTTAAAATATTTTAAAGAACAAATGTTTAACATATCACAAAATCCCTAGAGTTTTCGTAAACCATGTTGATTAACTCATAAAAATAGCTTGAGTTTTTTTTTTTTTTTTTTTTTTTTTTTTTTTTTGGAACACCCTTTTGTTTAAAAATAGCTTGAGTAAACACTCAAAACTATGTAATAGTTTGACACAATTAGATTGGTAATCTTTTACTATACTTTATCTAATGAATGAAAATGTTAACAAAAAATTATTTGACTTAAGTTATTTTAACTAATTGTAATTATAGTAAAATCTGAATTAATCAATAGTTATTTTAATATATTAAAAATGAAACCTATAAACTACGACACACATTCCTAAACGATCTCTTGAGTCGTTATCGAAATCCGCTATCGGAAGGTTTATATTCCTCCGTCTTTTTAACATGATATTTTAGAAAGTTTACTTTGTTTCAAAATATAAAATGTTTTGAGATTTTAAGGTATGTTTTAAAGTTTTAGTGTTAATTTTAACTTTATTGAAAACTATTTAACTAATAGATTTTATATTCTTTTTTATAATTGGTTAAATAATTTTAAATTATATCTTTAATACTTAAAAAAAATGTAAATATCTTAATTTCCGTGAATAAACTAAAATGGAACAGACGGATAATAGTTTTATATATCAGACAACTCAAAAGTCATTCTTGTCGAGTGGTTGACTGGTATATGAGCTTTGAGTTGCGACCTGATTTCGAAGTGTGACCATCGCTGATGGCTGAATAGTAGATGAGCTTTGAGTTGCGACCCAAGTTCCAACTGTTAAGGTAAAACAATTATAAGTGACGGCTTATACCGTACCTGTTGTCCTAATCACAACTGAAAGTGACAGCTTTGTCTTTTTAATTAAAATAAAAAATCTGAATATATTTCTCTCTTGATTCTGCTATGTTTCTTGGGAGAGGCTTCTTCTTCGAAATCAAGTAAACCCTAAGGCTTTGATTTTTAAGGTCCCCTCCAATGATTACACTCATTTCATCTCCATCCTCGGAGACTGCAAAACAACCGACCAATTCAAGCAACTACAGTCCCAAATCATCATTCGAGGTTTAGAACCAAACCCAACAATTCAAAACAAGCTTCTACTCTTCTATTGAAGTCGCTTAAGTGGCGACATGGGTTTGTTCGTCAAAATGCCTGAACCAGACGTGGTTGCATGGAACATTATGATCAAGAGTTTGTCGAGAGTAGGCTATGACACGGAAGGAATTAGATTGTATTTGACTATGTTTGTAACAAGTCTCTACGAGATGGGGTTAGCAACTAAGTATCTAAAAGGCCCTTATGTGAGGATACTTTCGAAATGACAAATATAAAACTTAGACTGAATAAATAGCGATGTTTAACAAAACAATCCGGATATGCAAAAGAGATTAACACAAAGAGTACTACAAAGTAGTTTTATTTATTACAAATAAGAAAAAAAACATATGAAACACCCTATTGTAGTTTCTTCTCCCAGGCTTAATCCCTTTCTTCAAATGCTCCTTTGAATACTTTAGAATAAAAACCGAAGCCAAGTCAAGGTAAAAACAACAAAAATGGTAGGGTAACTAAATTAGTCGTCTTGCATTGATCTGATCAAATCTTTAAGCATACATACACAAACCCAAAAGTTGCTACAAAGAGTCTCTCTCACACCAGAATCTNTTCTTCTCCCAGGCTTAATCCCTTTCTTCAAATGCTCCTTTGAATACTTTAGAATAAAAACCGAAGCCAAGTCAAGGTAAAAACAACAAAAATGGTAGGGTAACTAAATTAGTCGTCTTGCATTGATCTGATCAAATCTTTAAGCATACATACACAAACCCAAAAGTTGCTACAAAGAGTCTCTCTCACACCAGAATCTTAGTTCATATGTATCCCACAGAAACAAAATAAGAAGCTACTCCAGGTGGAAGGGGGGTTATGATGATCCCTTGTAGTGCTCCTTCACGGCTCTTGCTGCGGCACATTTAATAATAACTATTGTCTGTCACACAACTTTTTCTTTTAAACCTAAGAAAAAGAAGAATATTATGACTAACCAAAACTAGTCAAAACTGTCGAGCAGCATATACTCATGACCACCACACATATGAGAAGTCAACGGAGTTAAACAAGCGTCAATAGATTCAAATTCCGGGTGAGTCTTATCTCTGTAATAGAATCTGTGAGCTTCATGCTTGATCTCAATCCAGCTACAACCTGGTGTCTTGTTCACGTTATGTTGTTTCATTTTTTCTCTAATGTCCAAAACTCGCTCGTATTCACCGGCTTCCATATACAGATTAGACATTAATATATCACTAGAACCGCCGCAATTCTCTGGCTCTAGCGCATATAATCGCTCTCGAGCCAATAATGAGAGATCTATGTTCCCATGAATGCGACAAGATGCTAAAATTGACCTCCAGACTACAGGATTATCCTCAACGGGCATTGTTACTGCTAACTTATATGCTTCTTGTAGTTTGCCTGCACGGCCAAGCATGTCTATCACACAACTATAGTGATCACTTGTTGGGATAACGTTGTATACGGTCTCCATCTGTGCCAGGAACCTTCTCCCGTCGCTCAGGAAGCCTGAATGGTTACAAGCTTGTAGCAACCCAACGAATGTGATCTCATCAGGTCTTACACCGGCTTCACACATACGCGAGAACATATCCAAAGCTAACTTACCGCAGCTCTGCACACCGTAACCGTTAATCATGATGTTCCAAGAAGCTGAGTCTTTATTCCTCATCGAGTCGAAAACCGTCTGCGCATCTCTCATGTCCCCGCATTTCGCGTACATGTCCATCAAAGAGTTGTTAATGAACTCATCGTTGGAGTTTCGGTTCAAAAGTCCGTTGACAATCATGTAGCCATGAATCTCTCTTCCCTGATTCAACGCAGCTAAACGACCACAAGTGGGGAGGATTGTCGTCAACGTAACGAGATCAGGTCGGATTCCGGAACAAATCATTCTTTTAAACATAGCTAAAGCTCCATCATGATCACCACAGTAATCATGAACACACAACACAGAGTTCCACGTAAATATATCTCTCTCATCATCCATCCCTTCAAAGATCTTGACTGCTTCCTCCAACCACCTACTCTTCCCATACATATCAATCAACGCATTCGACACAACAACACCAGAATCAAACCCCGTTTTCACCGCAAGACCATGTACCAATCTACCATTTTCCAAATCCCCCGACACAGTGAAAGCTGACAATACACCAGTAATAGTATGCCTACTCAACCCAACACCTTCCTCACGCATTTGACTAAAAACTCTCAAACCCTCCTCAAACTTAAAAATCTGGGAATACCCAATAACCAAAGCGTTCCAAAGCACACTATCATCTCTCTCAGGCAATTCATCGAACACCTTCTGCGCATCCTCCACCAACCTAAACTTCAAATAACAACTCACCAACGCACTCCCTACATAACAATCCGAATCAAACCCAAGTTTAAACCCTAACCCATGAACCTTCTTAACATCCCAATCCTGCAAGGCATCACTTCCCTTAAGCAAACTAGGAAACGTATACTTATCAGGTGAAACCCCTTTCCCTCTCATCTCCCCATACATCTCAACCGCGTCGAAAGGAAACCCATTTACCACGAACCCAGAGATAATCGCGTTATAAGCGAACACGTCTCGCTCCGATGATCCATCAGAGACGGAGATCGCGCGGCGCATAAGGCCGCATTTGGCGTACATGTTGACGAGGCTGGTGACTGCGCGAGGGGAGTGTTCTAGAAGCCCTTTTCGGAGCATGAATCCGTGAAGCTCGGAGCCGGAAACGGCGTCGTTGCGATGCGCGCAGCGTTGGAGTGCGGCGATGCATGTAGCGACGTTGTGGTGATCGTATCTCTTCTTCGGGTGTTGTTGGGTTTGGAGAGAGAGTGTGGAGTAGAGAGATGATAAAGGAGAAGGCTTTCGTGGGAGGAGTAATCTCAGAGTTTTGATGGGAGGTTTTCGGAGGAAGAAGACGGTCATGTTTTTTGGCTCCACGAATTTGAAATTTGAGTTTCTTTAGTGTTTTATTTAAATGGTCGATATATGGGCTTAATTTAATGGGCTTACTACAGTAATAGGGCCCATTTAACCTTCTAACAAACTAAAACAGTCCCACATCGGTCAGGTGAAGAGAAGAAGCAGTGTTTATATGGCGGAAGAGTTGCGAAGATGATTGTCCCTTCGGGGACATCCGATAAAATTGGAACGATACAGAGAAGATTAGCATGGCCCCTGCGCAAGGATGACACGCACAAATCGAGAAATGGTCCAAATTTTTTGTTCCTTTTTTTTGAAATTTTTCTGGGTTCGATATCTGAATCAAAATTGGAGATTTTAGATACACATTTGCGCAAAAAAGAACCACGACGTTTCTGAAACTTTGGAGTTTTAGGGTTTATTTTACTTGGAACTGAACTTTGATTAGCTAAGACATGGTGTAGTGGTTGCGGTTCTGATGGTCGGAGAAAATCTCGATATCGGTTTGTATTAAGGCGGCGACACCAATGTCTTTTGTTAAATCAGATTTATTGGTACGAGATTCCGGTTAGGTTATCAGCATTTGGTTTTGGTTTAACATGTTTCCAATAATAACAGGGGCCTAATGGAACCGAACATTATCGAGAAAGACAGTAAAAAGACTGAACTTCGACATGTTGTGTCTGAGCTTCAATCTATTTGAACATAGATGACTTGGCAAAGTTGGTACTTAAAAACTTCTAAATACAATATTCATGACCATTTATCTGATGGTAGAAAAAAATAGGAACTTATGTATGGTAAATACAATATCTTTTACAACTAGGCTTAGTTCTCTTAAAAGTTGAATATGTTTAGTTAAGTACTATTAGTCTTCTGACTGTACTTTGATTATTGTTTTTCCTACAGTTTAATAACAAGGAAGCATTTCATTAAAAGTGTTTTTTTCTTTGGTTTATGAACACAATGATTCAGTTTAGCTGAGTGAAGAGCAGAAGATGGTCAACATTCTGATCTATCTTCCAAAAGAAAATATAATTATGATCATACCCACAAAAAAAAAATACAGTGATAATGGAACTAAATTGACACAAGGTTAGCCTTGTGCAACCTAAACCAATTAAAACATAGCATTAAAAGCTTCCTAAAACTATATATGAAGCTTCTCAGAGCTGCAAGTAAAAGTGTGTTTATGAGCTTCCAGCTTTTTCCATTATAGATATTGATGGGCTTCTTTAATCAACAGAGCAGTGTGGCAAAAAGGGAGAGGGTTGCTTTGCTTTAAGTTTCATGAGTTGTTGTTTGTCGACTACTTTTTGACATTTTCATCCATGTCCTTGTCCTGCTGCTGTAGATCACAGCCACCAGTCACCAGTCCAGGCAGCGGGCGGTCCATAAGGAGGAGGTTATATAATAATAGCCTTCAACACTTGCATGTGTGTATGCACTTAGAACTACAAGAACATGAGATATGTGAAGAGAATTCCCCTTCAGTTTCCTCAATCTTGTAAGTTGCCCACACCAAACAAGAACATGAACATGAACAAACCTTGTGTGACTCGTGATGTCATAAAAACTTTGTGTCCCTACAAGCTACTGTAATGTATATTATAGTAGTATATTCCATAAGCTATAACAAAAGCAAAACAAACAATTTTAAGTAACAAAGTTGATACAAAGTAAAAAAAAAAAGTAACAAAGTTGATACTTCATAGTTCATACTAGATGAATTATATCATTTTCCATTAACAATTATTTCTAGTTACACATATGATACTTATATAGACTACAACGGCTATAGTTTATAGCCAAAATAAAGAATCAAAGTCAAGGTGGGATATGAAATAGTTAACTGAGTGGCAAGGATAACTATAGGATATAAATATCATAATAATGACACATTAAATATATCGGTGGAATTCACATGAAGCTCACCATTTTCACCTATATACATTCCTCACCCTCTACTCTCCAATTGCTCTAATAGACCCCAAAGAAAACAATGGAAGCCTTGTGGAAGTTAGAGGATAAACTTAATCTAACAACAAAAGACGCAGTCGTGATCTTGGTCGGAACAGCGACTGCAGTAACACTCCTCTGCACAGCCGCAGCGTTTCTCAACCGCAACTCTCGAGGAAAGCAAGTGGCAGACGCTGAGTGGGCGTTTGTTGAGTCAACAACAATGGATGAAAAGAGGAGTTGTAAGTGGAGTAAAGTGAAGAGGAGACTGATGGGTTCGTTTTGTTGGAGCTCTGCAGGGAAGTGGATGGAGATGGAAACACGGCCTAGGCCACGGCCTAGGCCACGGCCATTGCTTGCGGTTAAAGAAAGGAGTCTTAATGCGGTTGATCCGGTTTGGCAGAGGCCTATTCTGATGGGTGAGAAATGTGAACTCCCTCGGTTTAGTGGTTTAATATTGTATGATGAACGTGGTGATCCGATTCAGCATTCTCCATCTCAAGAAGAAGTGAGTGTTTAGTTTACACTTTTTCTACATTAAACAAAAAAAAAATGTTTTTGGTTTAGAGATTGATATAAGTTTTTGTTGATGTTTTGCAGGTAAAACAGATTCCTCTGGTAAGAACAACTTTGAGAGATTTGCTTTGATAGTTGTGTTTCTCGAAGTTTCGTGTGTAACAAGTTTTAATACCGCCATGAAAGGTAAGATTCTGAGAGCTCAAAATCAAAACATGTGTTTAAGTAAACAATGTCTTATGTAATGTAGAGCTGAATCTTGTGTGCTTTGATTGCTTAGATAGGCCAAATGAAAAGAAAAAAAAATCAATTTCTTTCGAACAAATTTTGCTACAAGTTGATGCTTTTTTAAAACAAAGAAAGCAAAATATTATGAACAAACAAATAGAATAATCTTCTAAAACAAACAATATATGAACAAATGTACTTCAAATCAACCCACCAGAGATCTCTATCACACACACAAAAACCCACATCAATGAATCTTCATGTGGTCTCAAATAATCTTCAGCAACTGAACCATCAAAACTAGCTTCTTTGCTAAAACTCACACATAAGAAACAATCAAAGGCTCTTTTGTTTCTTCATCTATAGAGTTTCTGTGGTAGTAACAGTACAAAGATAGCTGCACAATTCCAAGAACCGTTCCTATCCCATTTGGTGTCTGAGTTTTCCAAAAAAAACAAGAAAGGTTTGTTAATAATTTTAAGACAAAACAACACAACTTGCAACTGCACTTATTGAAGAGTACAACTTACATAAACAAAAGCGTCACTGTTGAATAGTCCGAACATGAAGAAGGAAGCACTCATCAAGAAAGTTGATAGAGAGAGATAAAAAGGCATAAACTCAACACTCTTTGTCTGAATCACCAAGTTCTGCAGAAGACAAGACAAGTCATGCAATTAACAAAACTGCAACACATGAAAGTACTTGCTAGTAAATTTCTTGGAAACTTACGATAACAAACAAGGGAGAAGCAAACATGGAGACAAGAGAACCGCAGCTCAAGAAGCCGACAAGGTACCATCGTGTGAGCTTGTCAGGTATCTGCAAACTTCCAGCTACAATCAACGTAACCACAGCAAACACCACAAGAAGCAAAACAAGCATCCTCATCTGCCATGATTCAAGATCTTGATTAGAGTGATTACCAAACAAAAACGAGGTTTAGTTAGCCAAAGAAAATCAAGAAACCTTGGTCTTCTTGTCTGTATGCAAGATGAAGATGATAATGTAACAAAGCTGAAAAGTGGCTCCAACGCCATTCACAGTCACAAGCATGAAGTTTCTTTGGGATACGTAAGGTGAACCATACCAAAGACAGATCAAGCAGTTCAAGAGACCATAAACATATGGTAACCCGGAGAATTGCTCGGTCGATTTGTTCCTCATGATTCTCCTAAACGTTGGCCTGAAGATAAAAACAGAGAGACACACACACACAAATGAGAAAGAACTAATAAAGAGACTATGTTTATTACAAGATTAGTAGATGAAGGTGAAGAAGAAGAGCTCACATCGGTGAAACGAATAGCCCAAATGCAAATATATTTCCTGAAACAGAACAAACAATGCAACATTAGTAAACATCAAGTCAGAGCTCTTGTTTTTAGTGCTAAAGAAGAAAAAACACAGACCAGAAATAGGCAGACACATTTCTTGATTTATGGATACTCATGGCTAGGGATGTTGTAATGGGTTCTAATATTTAGGGTAGTACCAGCCCATCAAAACTTTTAAAAGCCCTAACTCTAATGTTTTAATTGTAAACTTTATTGGGCTTATTTAGGGTTGGGTTTAAAAATAAAGGGTTTTACAAGGGCTGAGCCCTATTAGTCATTAATTTTTTTTAAAGCTAAAAAAATCTCCTCTTCTTCGTTCTTGTCGCCGACACTCGAGAGTCGAAGGTTTCAATTAACATCTCATCTTCTTCTTCGATCCCGTCGACGAGGATTTCAACATCTCAGCCTCTTTCTTCGATCTCGCCGACGAACTACACCGTGGGTTTCAACATCTCAGACTCTTTCTTCGATCTCGACACTCGACGGTTTCAACATCTCAGGTTCGATTTCAACATCTCAGCTTCTTTCTCCGTTTACTGAGAGCTTCTATGATTCTCGGTTTGTGTATTTTCCTGATGGCCTTGGTTCCTGATGAGCTTATTTGTTTTGATTCTGTAAGCACTGGTTCTGGGTTTCGTTTAGAATCATAAACATTACTGATGTGTTTCATAGTATTTAGGTAGATGGTAAAGCTGAGACTGAAGGGATTAGGTAGATTCTGTAATCACTGCTTCTGGATTTATTGCGTGCTGATCCTTTTTGAGACTGAGAAGTTTTTTTTTTTGTTCTTTAATATTAGACGACATAGTCTTCTTGTAATTGAACATCATATCAGAGATAACTTTAATTGAATATCATATCAGAGATAACTTTAATTGAATATCATATCAGATAGAGGAGTTGAGTGAGAATTGGAGTGTAATATCAGTGTGTGTGTCATTATTCACTTTTGAGGTAGTTACGACTCATAACTTTGTACTCATGGTCATGGATACGCTTGATCTGCAATAGTATTCAATGCAAAAGACAATAAGCAGTTGTCGCTTGGAGCATGAATGTTTGTGTTGTTTGTGTTATAAGTTATGACTCATAATTTATGAGTTTGAGATGAGCTTGATGTCTTGGTTTATAAGTTAATTATGTTTTTACAGGTACCAAAGCCGACGTAAAAGCCTTCACAACGCAAGACTTGAATCAATAGCATCATTTATTTTATATTTTCACTTATTAAGATCAACTTTGATTATAACTTTATTTATAATCAATCAATTAAATAATCACAACGCAAGACTTGAATCAATAGCATCATTTATTTTATATTTTCACTTATTAAGATCAACTTTGATTATAACTTTATTTATAATCAATCAATTAAATAATAACCTTATATGTTGTAAGAAGTATTTTAATCAGAAACCATTATATTTTATTTGTACTAGTATATGAGATTATATGTATTTTGTAAGAGATTATGGTAAAATGTATTTACATCAAAAAAAACATATATGGCTTAAAATGGGTCAGAAAGGGTTCAACCCTCTTTTACATATTTAGATGGGTTCAAAAAGGGTTAGGGTTTATTTAGGGTTGGGCTTGAAGTAAATAGGGTTGGGTTGGGCTGGGTAACCCAAAATAACATCCCTACTCATGGCAATAAAAGCCAGATCCAATATATGTATATCCATTTAAAGATTAAAAACATATGTATGTAAAAAGAATCAAAACATACGAAAGAAGAAAAGATTAAAGTCTTTACCTGCGATTCCAGCAACATCTTTCCACATGGAGAAAGAACCATCTAAAGCAAACAAATCCATAAGAAGCTTATATAAGAATAGTCTACAAAAGAAGAATAGTCTCTTTGTTTTACTTGAGAATAACAAAGCTTCAACGTCTTCTTTGCTCTGCTCTGTTCTTATGGAGACAATTTTTTGCCAATAAAAGATAGAACTAATAGAGAGACTAAACTGAATAGATGACTTTCTTTAAAGAGCAAGAATGCGTACGACCCACTATATATATATGCGGTCCAGATTTGGCTGTGTCTACTTTTTCTACCAACAAAGTTACGTATTTGTTACAAATTACAGAAAAGCAAAAAAAAAAAAAACATGAACACGTCAAGCATGCGTAAGATCTATCCAAATTTCTATAAAATAAAATAATCAGAAGTTTAATAAATTGATATTTGACTAGTAAGACTTCATTGATTATTATTCCTTAGATGTGAGTTTTCCGTATTGGAAATAGAATGTAGTCAAAGAGTGGATAGGCTAAAGGGTTTCAAATCCAAAAGGATCAAAACTAGCCACAAAATTATGTGTGTTTTATGAGATTATAAACTATAGGTGTCTGGTTTCAATAATTTAAATAAAAAAACTCATTTTACCAAAAATTAAAAAAAAAAACTCATTTTATTATGTCATGTAATTTTTACTTTGGATATATCTAGTTTCTTGAATATTCCGAAATCATATTGCAAAATGTGAAATTAAATGTCTTCTCGATTTAGCTTGAGGTCTCAAAATGTTGCTCTCTGTCTGGCATAGTGACATAAATCCCCACTTGATTTATCTAAGATAATTCCTGACCAATCATTTTTTTTTCTTTTGGATTGAGTTTTGGAGCTTTTGTGTGGTCAAAATTCGACATTCCCTTAGACAAGCATTTTAAAATAATAAAAGAAACATTTTGCTCGTCGTGTCTTAATTCCACTCTATCAACAAGATCAACTGTGACCGTGAGTATTCTTGCTGAATCACTTGCTAGAATCCTGAGAATGACAACTCAAAAGAGATGCGTAAACCAAACTTACTTTTGTTTCCGATAAACAATCTAAAGTCTGATTATAGTCCGTATCCAATAAACCATTAGTTTTCTTTTGTCTTAACCAATCAATATCTTGACCAACTAAGAAATAAAAATACCAAGATGAGCTAATTCAGCTGGAAAGAACTCGAGATAATTGTATTGAAATCCTTTGTTCGAATATATTCACTACCTAATAAAAATCTACCAACTGGTCTTTGTTTTCGGTCCTATAAAGATTAGTCGGGTTGGGAGGTCTGAATCACTTCCTGATTTAACCAAGAAGAACTGAGAAAAAAAAAGACAAAACAATGTAAAGATTTTCTCAACTAATCAATTATTAGTTGACTACAGGCATGTCGACATCGCTGATGACCTAAATTATAAGCAAAAGTCACGCGATCTTTAAACAAAGCGTTGGACAACTAATATTTTTTCTTTTATATTAACCTAACGTAACGCAAGTATCATCACGAGGCACGAGCATCTCATCCATTTTCTATTCTGATGCTTCATGAAGTTTTATTTTGAATTAATCTATTCAGATTTAAAATCACCTTATATAATGTTAGTCTCGTTCCATGCTAAAAGCTCTTAAAACCTAACATATTTTTTTGCATTTTTAATGTGGTTGATTTGTGTTTTGCAACAAATATTGTTTATCGAGCGTATCCTTTAGAACATTTCCAGTGGAGTTCTTCCTATTGTAACTCTTAAAATATGTACTATATATATATATATATATATATATATATATATATATATATATATATAATACATACAGCATTAAAAGGCTCCAAGCACAAGTTTAGAAGGTTAAAGTACCCCCGAAGATGTATCATCTTATGTGACAGATTATATCGGGGCAGGTGGCTGTTACGAGTGCGCTGAATCATAGACACATGAGATGCGATAATTTCTGTCCACGATGCGGAGAACAGGAGGAAACAATAGCACATGCAATCTTTCAATGTCCACCGGCCTTACAGGTATGGGCCTTAGCATCTATTCCTACCAGCCCAACTTCATTCCCCTTAGAGAGCACATATGCGAATATGAACTATCTATTCTGGAGGAAAAAGGTCATTTGTGGCCCAGAATTAGACAGGGATCCTTATCCTTGGTTAATATGGTACATTTAGAAGGCTCGGAATGACAACCTGTTCAGAGGAATAGATAGAGACCCCCTGGAACTGTCACGGTACGCAGAGAGTGAGTGTATAGCCTGGTTCCAAGCTAATGAGCAGGATGAGGTGGATGCACAAGCAAACGATAATGCTGAACGTCAGGTCATAAGCCTACGAGATATTTGCATGATAGACGGTTCTTGGACCTCTACAGACCAATTCTCTGGTTGTGGTTGGGACTGGAAGGATAACATGGGGAATAGTCAGTTGATGGGGATGCGTAATGTGAGTAGACTGGAGTCAGCTTTGCATTCTGAGCTGGAAGCACTGCGGTGGGCAATGGAGAATATGCTTCAACATTCGCCATGTCAGAGCTTTGGGACGGACTGCAGGGAATTGATAGCAATGCTCATGAATCCTCATGGATGGCCAAGTTTTTCGACGGAATTGGAGAGGATCTCGACGCTGAAGATTTTTTTCCCAGATTTCAGGATTTCTTATGTTCCTAGATCTCTAAATGTTGTGTCTGATCAGTTAGCTAAGACTGCCAGATCCTTTCATCGCAATCTTTTGTATGTTGGTTGTTTTATTCCAGTCTGGATCCCCAGACCACCTCAAGCTTAAGTAATAGATCAGCCTTTCGTTGTTAAAAAAAAATACATAATACATATTTTAAAAGCTCTAATGAGAAAAAGTCCCATTGGAGGTAGATCATTTCTTTCTTTGCAGTCTCTCTAATATTATAACAACCAGGTCTTAGTTGTCTATTCATGCAAACCATTTATTTTAAAATTTATTTATGAATACAGCTATCAAGTGATATACTTGATGCTAATTTAAAAAAACTTTATACGGTTTGATTTCTGGTATATGTAAACAAAACAATTATCATGAAATTTGCTTGCATGCAACTAAAACTACAAAACCAACTGATTCAGTTTAGAATCCAACCGGGACTAGACGAGGTTAATTAGACTAGTTATCATCATCATCTTCCCAATAACAATAAAACTTATTCGATATAAACAAGAATAATCTCGTAAATAAGTTAGTTACCCAACGTTTACGTGGTATGGATGAAATCTGATATGCAATTATTAAGTATTGATCAGATCTAGGCGTCTAGCAGAGGTCAACAGATCGTTACGTAAGGATCAAGAATTGAATTATTCTATTGATTTATAAACGTCAAATACTTCTCTCTCACGATTAATTCCAGGCGTTAAGACAACACAAGTACACACAACACATGCATGATTGTTCTATAAACATGTGGACGAAAAATAATGGATGCGAAATATTAACAAGCTCAACTCCGAATTTAATACGTAACATACATACGACGATCCTCAGCTAAAGTGGATAAACCTTAAAATGAAAAAAGAATCAACTTTATTATACAGTTTCTGATGTATCTTTCCAAACGTCAAAATATGATCATGTACTCTATTTCAACCTTAAACTAATCATGTACTCTAGTTAATTATGTAGAAATTTGAATAGATCTCCCTAACCCAATAGATAATACATATATGTGTAATTACATATATATATATATACTAGGTGATTTTCCCGTGCTCATGCACGGGCATAAATATTTATAAAATAAATATATTATAATATTTGATTGATATTTACTTTAACTTTTATATTAATTTATAGTTTTTATGTATAATTATATTAATAATATTATATTATTTTAGTTATATATAATTTAGATATATTATATTTAGTTAGTTTATCATTTGGATATATATATATATATATATATATATATATATATATTGGATTCTATCTATTTTTCTGAATTCAACTATAATCTTTTTATTCTAAATATCTTAAATTTTTGATTAATTATTTTATTTACATTTATGTTGGTTCTTATCTTAGAAATATAAGTATATCTTAGTAAGATTATGTATTTTAATATTTTTTGTGCTTAGAACAAAAAAAATAAAAACTAAAGTGTCTGATTCTAAATTACATACATAAGTAATAATAAATTTTCAGAAGCTTATGAAAACATATCAATATTTACAATAATTAAATATTTTAGAAATTTTAAATAATTTATGCCTTAGATTGATTGGATGGTAAACTGAAATTTATTTTAAATAATTTTTAAAATAAAAAATTATAATTTTCTTAAGTATTTGATTATGGTTATATTAAATTCCACAAACATAAAAACATAAAATTAAACATCAAAAGAGTTATTAAGAAAACATATAATTTTAACTATTAAAATATAATATATCTACCTCGCTAAATTATATAGTGTTATGATATTTTAAAAGAATTGTAGTTATCTGATCAAAAGATGTTTACCATTAAATTTATTTTTAGTTTTGTTTTTAATATCTCTTAAAATATGCAGTAAAATGTGATTGTTTTTGAAAGATTATATTATATAAGTAAAATATAATTTATATTTTTTTCTGTAACGGTAAGATATTATAATCAAATAACTATACTAATTATATTTTTTTCAATTAAACATATATCAGTTTATGTTACTTAATTATTTTATGTAATCATCTAATAAAATAGATAGATATATACAAAAACTAATTACTTTGAAAATATATATTTTTTGTTTAAATTATTTTTTTAAACAAAAAATATTTCTTTTTCTAATATCAAGATTATTTGTATGAAATTTGTTTATGAAAACACATTATATACAAATATTTTTTCATCTAAGAAGATATAGATATAAAGTATAATTACTTAAAAAGTATAATATATGTTATTTAAAAATATATTTAAGTTAAATATTACTATTTTGTAAGCTTTCCTTTTTTATGAAACCATATTATATATATACTTATTTTTCGTTTTTAAATTGTTTTGTAAATTTTAGAAATATTTTCTTTTTGTTTTATATTGTTATTTGGAAGATTTTAAAAAGGAAATAATAATATTTAAATTTATTTTTAATTCATTAGGGGTATCATAGTAATCAACCAGCGTGAGAGTTAACGTGAGCACGACACCTAAGAAAGTGACTTCTCAAATAATATTATAGATATATATATATATATATATATATATATATATATATATATATATATATATATACATGGTTTAGTTGTTAATTTTGATAAGCTGAATAAATCAATAATCAACAAACAAACTTTCCAAACCAATCTATTTTTACATCTATTCAAAAAAAAAAAAAAATAATAATCAACAAACATTTGGGGGGAGGCAGAAGAAGCCATTTTCTAATACTTGTGAATGTGAGAGAGGCCAAGGCCCATAAACTGTAACGGGCTATACTATTGCTTAAAAGGCGATGACAATGGCCCAAATAAGATTGCCTCGTTCTTAAATTACTACGAAACCGAAACTCAAGCGGACATGTTGAAATTTCTACGGTACCTATATTTTCGGTTTGGTAATAAGAACACTAAAAACTGAACCGTAATTGTTAAGGGTAATTTGGTAGTTCTGTCGGAGTCCACTGGTTCTCCTTAACTGTCTCAGGGGATTACCGTTTTCTAACGCTCGTTTAGATCCTTTCCCTCTCTTTCTTTCTTCTTCGTTTCTCCTATTACTCTTCACTCTTTATATTCCATTTGATCCCTCTCCCTCTCCTCGAATTTTCTCTCTCTCTAAACATCTTTGAGACCTTCTTCAAGTTTAGATACATCTTTGATCTGATTCCACCACAGGTACGTACCAGGATCTCTTTCTGTATCATAATTCTCTCATGTTTTTGAGCCTTTTCTCTTGTTTTGGATCTGCTTCGCATTTGATTGCTACATTTTGCCATACTTGTGGATCTGGATCTGCATCTGGATTTCTCTAATAACTGTAGCTTCTCCTACTTAATTTCGTAGATTTAGCTTTTTGTTACTGAATCTTATGAGTGCGAAGGATAGATCTGAATTAGTTGCTCTCTCTTTTTTAGTAGCTGTGTCCTCCTCCCACTGTCCCACATTTGAGCTTAATCGATTTTTCGTCTCTAGTCCATATGCTTGCTTAAATTACATTTTGATTCCATGGGGTTTTTCTGTTTGCAATTATTTACCTTTTGGACATGGAATTGCTCTGTTTGCTAAATAGATTCCTTATTGGCTCTAAATGCGACATGATTCGAGTTTGTCTGATAGTGGATCGGTTGAACATGAACCAAATCTAAAAGTTCAAAAATGTTTAAAAAATTTCAAGATAAATATATAAATTATGATCTAAAACTTTAAACTTTTAGATATACTACTAAGATTAGAGTTTATAAATATATATATAATTAGAGCTATAAACTTTAAATTATTCTACAGTAGAACCTCTATAAATTGATACTTGATAAATTAATATACACTAAATATCTCTATAAAATAATATAATTTTATAGTGTCAAATTAAGTTTTTGGTTTAATTAGTATAACGATAAATTAATATCTCTCTAAATTAATAACAAAATAAAATTTTGGTGTAATCCCAACATTATTAATTTATAGAGGTTCCACTGTATTTTTAGATATACTACCAAGATTAGAGTATATAAATATAAATATATATACTTAGAGCTATAAAGCTTAAAAATTTTCTATTACTTCGTATATATACAGTTAATATTTTTTTTGAAAAAGGTCCATAAAAATTTGAGACTGTACTGTTCCTACATGACCTTTGCTCTATGCACTTTTCATGGTCTCTGTTGTTGCTGCAGATATAATAGCTCACACACATCACAATGGCTACATATAAGCCCAAGAACATCCTCATCACCGGAGCAGCAGGCTTCATAGCCTCCCACGTCGCCAACCGTCTAGTCCGCACCTACCCTGACTACAAAATCGTCGTCCTCGACAAACTAGACTACTGCTCCAACCTCAAAAACCTCAACCCTTCAAAATCCTCACCCAACTTCAAGTTCGTCAAGGGAGACATCGCCAGCGACGACCTCGTCAGCTACCTTCTCATCACTGAAAACATCGACACCATCATGCACTTTGCAGCTCAGACACACGTTGACAACTCCTTCGGTAACAGCTTTGAGTTCACCAAAAACAATATCTATGGAACACATGTGCTTTTGGAAGCTTGTAAAGTCACTGGACAGATCAGGAGGTTTATTCATGTGAGTACTGATGAGGTTTATGGAGAGACTGATGAGGATGCTTCTGTTGGGAACCATGAGGCTTCTCAGTTGCTTCCTACTAATCCTTACTCTGCTACTAAAGCTGGTGCTGAGATGCTTGTGATGGCCTATGGGAGATCTTATGGGTTGCCTGTTATAACTACACGTGGGAATAATGTTTATGGTCCTAACCAGTTTCCTGAGAAGTTGATTCCTAAGTTTATGTTGTTGGCTATGAATGGGAAGCCGCTTCCTATTCATGGGGATGGGTCTAATGTTAGGAGTTATTTATACTGTGAAGATGTTGCTGAGGCTTTTGAGGTTGTTTTGCACAAAGGGGAAGTGAACCATGTTTATAATATTGGGACAACGAGGGAGAGGAGAGTGATTGATGTGGCTAATGATATCTCAAAACTCTTTGGGACTGATCCTGACTCTACTATTCAGTTTGTGGAGAACCGGCCGTTTAATGACCAGAGGTACTTTCTTGACGACCAGAAGCTGAAGAAGTTGGGATGGTCTGAACGGACCACTTGGGAGGAAGGGCTGAAGAAGACAATGGAGTGGTACACTGAGAATCCTGATTGGTGGGGAGATGTTACTGGAGCTTTGTTGCCTCATCCAAGGATGCTGATGATGCCAGGTGATAGACTCTGTGATAACTGTGACGGCGAGCAAAAGGATGCAGATGGTAATCAGACATTCACTGTGGTTACTCCAACCAAAACTGGTGGTTCTGGAGACAACAAAACATCCTTAAAGTTCCTTTTATATGGTAAGACTGGGTGGCTTGGTGGTCTTCTAGGGAAGCTATGTGAGAAGCAAGGGATTACATATGAGTATGGGAAAGGGAGGTTAGAGGATAGAGCTTCTCTCATGGCGGATATTCGCAGTGTCAAACCTACTCATGTCTTTAATGCAGCTGGTGTAACCGGGAGACCTAATGTTGACTGGTGTGAGTCACACAAAACCGAGACTATCAGAGCCAATGTTGCTGGTACTTTGACTCTAGCAGATGTTTGCAGAGAGAATGGTGTGTTGATGATGAACTTTGCCACTGGTTGTATATTTGAGTATGATGCTGCACACCCTGAAGGTTCAGGGATTGGGTTTAAGGAAGAAGACAAACCCAACTTCACCGGTTCCTTCTACTCAAAAACAAAGGCTATGGTAATAATACACTAACAGTCTAATAACACATAACTAAACCACATTTGATCCATAATATGAATCTATTTTAACCAGGTGGAAGAGCTTCTAAGAGAATATGACAACGTATGCACACTGAGAGTACGCATGCCAATCTCATCCGACCTAAACAACCCACGAAACTTCATCACAAAGATCTCACGCTACAACAAAGTGGTCAACATCCCAAACAGCATGACCATACTCGACGAGCTCTTACCAATCTCAATCGAGATGGCTAAGAGAAACCTGAAGGGAGTATGGAACTTCACCAATCCAGGAGTGGTGAGCCACAACGAGATACTAGAGATGTACAAGAGCTACATCGAACCGGGCTTCAAATGGTCCAACTTCACTTTGGAGGAACAGGCTAAGGTCATCGTGGCACCACGTAGCAACAACGAGATGTGTGGTGCCAAGCTCAGCAAGGAGTTTCCTGAGATGCTTTCCATCAAGGACTCGTTGATCAAATACGTCTTCGAACCCAACAAGAGAACGTAAGACAACACAAAACATACACTTCCTCTTTTTTTTTTCTCTTCATTGCTATATTATTATACTGCAGGTAGCTTCACTATAATGATTCTACTATTTTTTTGATTTGATGTAACTCATGTGATTCATGTACTCTATTTTTTTGGAATCTTGCTCCGAAACATATCTTTGTTATTTACATTAATATTATTACAGAAATGATTTTATTTGAGTTTCTTTACCAACATTATGTATTTCTACTCCTACTACTATCATGCTTTTTGTATTCGTATCAAGCAAGTAAAAATATGTGTTCTAAAAATGCTAGCCTAGACACTTGGCTAATCAATAATCACATCTAAAGTTCTAATTATATTCTAGTTATTTCTTTAACATTGGAAAATAATGATACAGAGAAGAAACAATATTGGCTGCTTTAACTTGTTTCTCTTTGCTTTAAACTTTGAAGATTATTTTTGTTACAAGAGCAATGTAACAATGTCTCTCATAAATCAAATCTTTTCTAATGCATAAATAGTAACTGCAAACTATAAATTAAACCTCTGTACTTCATGTCCTCAAACTTCACCACGTCCATCTAAAAACATTTTGCTCTCTCTTCACCACTTCAAATTCGCAAGCAACAAAACACCTTCAATTAGAATACACATGTAAAAATTATGTATAAAGGGTGAAAGACAAGACCGGAAGAAGCTCAGTACCTTGAACTTGTTGTTGTCTTCAGAGAGCTTGAGCATATTGTCTAGATAATGGTTGAACTTCTAGGCTCGTTACAAAAATTCAAAAGGCAAAATCAGTACTATAGTTGATTATAGATTCCCTTTTAAGTGCTTATGAACAGCGAAGAAGATGTAAAAAAGTGTCTGAGAATGTACCTTCTGGTTCTGTAGACAACCAATCATGTGCACAGAACAAAGCTTGTCTAATATCAGGGTTCAAAGAACTCTTACTCTCATCAATCACAGGTCTCCCAGATTCAAATGTTGAATCAGCCCCAAAGATTGACATAGGTGTCCCCAAAATGTCACGTGCCATCATAGAGAGAACAGGGTATCTCGGTGTATGAACCTTCCAGTAATTCAGAATATTGAACTCACCACTACGAGGAAAGATAGGTTCAGACAAGTACTTATCCAAATCAGAAGTTGTGTTTTGGTTCTGAGAAGTCTCGTGGAGAAACTTGTCGAATCCTTTCAGTCTATCTCTACTGTCCATACCACCTCTACCCAACCCTGAGCCAGAGAAGGAGGAAGAGTCTTCACCAATGGCTGAGCAGATTGAATATGCATCAAGAAGCTCCTTGACACCGTTTGACACTTCTTTGATACGGTCCAGAGCTGTACTGCCATAGATTTTAGAGTAGTAATACTCCACCAACTTCATCTTGAACCTTGGATCTAAGATAGCTGCGATTGCTAACACAAGGCTGCATTTGCTCCAGTACTCATCGAACTTAGCTTTCATCTTAGCTGCAAGAGAACTCAAGAAACTGTCTTGGCTTTTGCACCATTCTATCAACTGTATGTGGATGTCACACATCTCAGCAAAGTATACATTTGCCGTTGGACATTTGTTTCTTGAAAAATCAGCTGCAATCTCGTACACGAGTTTAAGATAGCCGGTGATGGATCTTGTCCACTCCCACTCCTCGTCGGTTAGTGATGAATCAAACCCTTGGTCATGATCACGCAAATGACAAAACGCGCCCTTGTAGTCCAGCACGGTCTCAAGCATTTCATAAGTCGAGTTCCACGTAGCAAGAGAATCAAGAACCAAGATCTTCTCGGAGTTTATCCCTGCGTGTTGAGAGATTTCATTGAACCTCGCTTGTGTTGACTGTGAGCTCTTGACATACCTCAAACTTCCTCTAATCTTTTGAATCACATCTCTCATAGCTTCTAAACAATCTTGAACAATAGCATTCAGAAGATGCGCGGCGGATCTCAGCTCAAGTAACTGCCCGTTGATCAAAACCTGGCTGCTCTGAGACATGTGTTCTTTAATCCTCAGGACAATCTCATCATTAACAGAGAAACTATCAAAGGTAACAGCGAAAAGCTTGCTCTCAAGACTCCACTCCATCAAACACCTGATGATTACTTCAGAGAGCATGTCTTCCGTATGAGACGGATCCAATGTGATGAAGTTGAGAACATTCCTCTGTAGCCTCCACTCCTCATCAATATAGTGAGCAGCTAAACAAACATAGTTAGCATTGTCTTTGGAAGACCACATCTCAACCGAGAGATTGATCTTACCGTATAAATTACTCAAAACATGCTGCACTCTCTGCTTCTCTCTGATATAAATCTCCATACATGTTTCCTCAATAGTGGTATTACCCACAGGTTCAAACAATGGCTGAAGATTCCTAGCAAACACTCTGAAGCCAACATGATCAACCAAAGATAACGGATAGTCATGTAATATAATCATACGTGCAAGATCAACTTGACTCCTCTCTTGACTAAACCTCCCTCCTCCTCCACCGCTTCCTCGGCTCATAACAATCTCATCCCCTCTACGCTGCTCCTGATCAAACTTAGGCCTAATGTAACCCTCCTTCTGCTGCTGACCTTCATCAAAACCAATAGTAGCAACAGTCACTGGATTCTCCTTCTTCCTCCTCTTGGGAGTCAGAAGCTGAGACATGTCGTGGTTGGTTCTTTTCAGACAACGCATGAGATGGTTCCGGAGATGAGTTGTCCCACTGTTGCTGGAACCGCTTAGCTTCTTGTTGCATTGAATGCAAACAGCGTAGCAGACATCAGCCTTTCTCACCCTCTCAAAGTAGTTCCACACAACAGATGTCAACCTCTTTGATTTTTGAAGTATGATCTCATTTGATTCATCCATCACAAAAAAAAATCACTGCCCATTAAATAAAACAACAAACTTTAGACTAAAGACAAACACTTTGAATCATTACAACAGTTATATCAAAAACCAAACATCATCATTATAACATAAAGTTAGTGCAAAAGAGATCAAATTGTGAGACAATGAGACAATTGAGATATAAAGTCGGATCCTTTACACTGGAGAAAGAAACCCTTTTGAGATTTGCTAAGAGAACAGAGTTTTTTTTTTTTTTTTTAATATGAAGAGAGTGAGAGAGAGGAGAACAGAGGAGGAAGGTTTGAAATTTTGTTTACCTTTGTTTATAAAAAAGAAAAAGGGGTTTCAGAATCTGTGGAGAGTGGCTACAATCGGAGGATCCGAGGAGTTGGTTTTTAAGGGTTTCGGGTGGGAAGAAGCTGAAGCTGGATCGAAGAAAACATCAGATCCGATGGGTGGTTCTGACTGGGTTATAAAGACCCGATTTTTAGGGGTTCGGGTGGGTTTAACCGAATAATACATTAAGGTAAACCGATCCGGTTCTGAATCAGAATCTATTCCGGTTTACTTATCATATAGTAATTGTACTGGATAGGGATCTGATTTTGTTATCTAATCTCACATTAACTTCGGTGTATATTATTCGTTTTATAACCCACATTAACCTAAAATCATAACGTTAAATAAAATTTCGGAGGTTACAAATATGATTACAAGATTTTGACTCTTTTTTGAATCCTATTGAGAATCTTTTTGTAACTTGTTCATCTTCAACAATTTATCAAAAAAACTATTGGACTCTATCTATACTATTATTTAAGAAATAAATTTGCTTATTTGTCATGTTCTCCGTAAATTTAGATAATCTATACTATTATTTATCATATTTTAAATATTTATATATAACAATATATCTATAAATTTATGGAGAACATGATAACTTAGCAAATTTAGTTCTTAAAATAATAGTATAGATATGCATGCATGCAACATCTGTAGCATACAAATATTATTATTTTCATAGATTTTTTTTTGAACATTGACTATTTCACTTGTTTTCATCTTATAAAAACATACGTCTGACTGCGTTCTTCCAAATCATTCCGAATGTCCTATAAAATTTATGTTCAATGATACACCATGCACCATGTCGAAAATTCTTTATAACTATTTTCTTTATAATCTGCATTATTTGTATTTTTGGAGTTTGAATCTCAAACTTACTAAGAGGACAATAATTTATTTCACAGATTTAAGATAGATATTTGCATGTAACTTTTTACATATATACAACAGAGGTAGTATCACACACATATTAACATTATATATATATATATGTATGTACAACATATATATATGTTTTTGATTTAACATCTACTTTTACTAATTTGATGCAGTGCCGACCATTAAATGTGAGAACCATGACAGATAATATTTTACAGTTTTAGAAGAATGAACGCACTATCTTTCAACAATATATTGCCATCACTACCATTATACTATAGACAAATTATTGTCTATTTTCGGCTGGTACATACAATTTTTGGACGGAAACTCCAGCTTGTATGTTTGGTGTCAGGACCTCTACTGAGGTCACACACACGTTTGATAATCATATAAATATAAAATTATATATGACATAGAGTAATGAAAAGGACTTAATCCTTAAAAAGTAGATAATCATATAAGTATAAAATCATATCCCTTTGATTTAGTTTCTATATTTCATCTATTTACTTCACTTTCAAAGTATTAACCGAATTATTTTTTCCCTTAAGACCACAATTTTTACTCAAATTGTATCCCTTGTAAAATTATGTTCTTTCTTTTTCTGTTCGATACGGTGTATCATATTTTACATTTCTCTTATTCTCAACTCATTGTTATAACAAGAAAATTAGCTGGATATTTCACACATACTTTTTTATAAAGATATTTTACATATAGTTTCATTAGCAAACATCTATTCACACAGTGTATATATGTGTGTAGGAAATGTCTATCTTCTCAACATCTTCTATACACAAAAGAAATTATATCAAAAAAAAAAAAAATTCCCACTCGATTGATCATAACATTTCCTGATTGGTATCATGGATCTGCGGTTTCTTTGTTCTCTTTTATTGCTTTTTGTCGTAGAAGCGACCACAACCAAGACCAAAGGTACATACATCAAGGATTCTTAACATTTGATTTTCTTAAAATGATGTTTTACTAATCACACTCTAAATCTTTTTTTTTTTAATAAGCTTCAGGGAACACAACATTTCCGGCACTAATAGTATTCGGAGATTCGATAATGGATACTGGAAATAATAATGACATTCCAACTATTGCCAAGTCTAACTTTCCTCCTTATGGGAAAGAGTTTCCTGGTGGT